GAGGAGAAGGAGAAGGAGGAGGAAGAGGAAGAAGAGAAGCAAAAAAACGTGGATTTCGCACCTTTTTTTTTTTTTTTTTTTATTAAAACATTTCGATGGAAATCTACTCGTATCTTTTTTTTTTTTTTTTTGTAAATTATTCGTCGTCGGGTTGTTTGTTTGTTCGTTTGTTTGTCTGTCTTGTCTGAACACTCGAATTTACATGCATCGATAAATAATGATTCAGTCAATTGTCAAATATCTTTTACCAACTTCCTACAATAAAATTTAATTACTTCACTCGTGTGCATGCATCCGCCACTTGGTCATGCGATACATCTTTACCCTCCCTCCCCCTCCCCCCGCGAATTTCCTTACACTCATCCCCTAAAACTAAAATAAGACGACGATTTTTTTCCATAATAATAATAATAATTTCTCACGTCGGATAACGATTAAAAAGGAAAAAAAAAAAAAGGTGTTATGGGAGGAAAATAATCTCACCCTATGGGGACTTGTAGTAAGTTTCGTCGATTAATTATTATTATTATTATTATTTTTTGAAATTAAAGTGAATAATAATGATATAATTTAATCGGGGGATGGGGAGAAATTGATTCACGATGAATTTAATCTTTATTATTTTATCAATGTGGGTAGTTTGAATTTTTTTTCGTCGACTTTTCCTGCAGTGAGAATTTTCACTAAATAAATGCAGGTTCACTCCTACGGCGTGAAAAAAAAAAAAAAAAGTGAAATTAATTTAAATACGTAATAAAATCATTATCATTATTATTTGCTTTTATTAATAATAAAAGTGACGCGTATTACCAACCGGAAACGGTAACAAAAAAAATATAAAAAAAAATTTTTTAAGTTTAATTAGTTTTTTTTTTTTTTTGTAAATGGAGAAAAAAATAATACGAAAAAAAAAAGAAAAAAAATGTTATCAGTGTGATCCATCGCGGTCTCTATAGGTGTCGAATCCCTTAAATCACCCTGACAACGAACTAACTGGCAAGGGTTGAAATGAAATGAAAAAAAAAAAATCAAAAGAAAGAATTTGTGTTATCAAGAAATCGCAATCAAAGGTTCCATCTCAGTATGCTATAAAAATATCTTATCGTTAGTTTCCCTATTGAAATTTCTTTGCGGGAAACAAAAAATAATAAAAGAATAACAACAAAAACAACAACAACAACAACATAATTGCATTCGTTCTCGTTTGTTTTTGAAAACGAAAAACAAAAAACAATCTTCATGGGAAAATTGTAAAAACAAATTCAGTTTAAAAAAAATTGGCACAAATAAAATGGCGGAAATTTACAATAAACGTTTTTTCATCCTTTTTTTTTTTTTTTTTTAAAAATTAATAACTGTCTATATCTATTTAAAAAATGAACAAAAAAATATTTCAGACAAAAGAAGATAGAGAGAGAGAGAGAGAGAAAATAAAAGTAAAATGGTAGTAGTAGAAGTGGTAAAATGGTAGTTTTAAATGATAGACAGATTAAAATCGAAACGGGTTCGTTTTAATTTTTTTTTTTTTATATATAAAATCCCACAGCGGCGTTTTGTTGCGTGAGTGTGTGCGTGAGTGTGCGTGTGTGTGCGTGTACGTGTGCCGAAATTCGATCTTTTCAAACGACCGTTTATAAATAAATTAAGTCGATTACTATTTCAAAAAAAAATCGACTGATTTATACTTAATTTGACGTATTGACAATGAAATTATTATTATTATTATTAACTAAGGGCTACAAAAAAAAAAAAAAAGGTAATCAGACGATATTTTAATAATAAAACTATGACTATATATATATACCACACAAAAAACCACCTTATTATTATTATTATTATTCTTTCATCGGTAATATAATATTTTACAAAAAAAGGTTAATATATATTTATAATATTTATACAGTATAAATGTATCGATTCGTGCATTTTCGATTTCCTCTTTTTTTTTTTGTAATTAATTTTATGAATGAATTCAAAAAAAAAAAAACAATTAAAAATGCATTAACTAAATCTCAACATATTAGTTTTAAAACCCAATTTAAAAAAAAAAAAAAACGTGGCAGCAGGAGAAGGATTAAAGTTTTGTCAAAAAAAAAAAAAAATTGCGGTTTAAAAAAATCCCTAACCTTTCTTAACCCTCTTTTAAGAGAGAGAGAGAGAGAGAGAGTAAAACAACATTTTTTACGCCTCTCGACACCCACAAAATAATAATAATAATAATAATGTAAATTTGCGTATGTTTCGTAACCTCCTACAGCGTTTTAAAAAAAAAATTTATCAATTTTTAAAATCCCCGTTTTTTTCCATTTTGTTCCTTATTTTTCAACGCGAAAATTTTCCACAGGAAAATATCATAAATAATAATAATAATAGTGGTAGTGGTAGTGGTAGTAAAAAAAAAAAAAGAATCCCCGGTGATTTAAAAGATCCACTCGAAAAAAACTTTCTTCTAATGGGGCGTGTTTTAAAACATATTCAAGAGGTCAACATAACAAACAACAACAGGAAACGTTTCGCGTTTGATTTTCCCAGTAGCAGGAAACATTTTTCAAGTGTCTTCCAATTGTGTTTGTTCAAAAGATCATTTTTATATATATATAACAATCTTTTGTAAATTGTTACGTAATTCAAAAGAAATTATTATTATTATTATTACTATTATTATTATTATTATATTTTAATAGTTTTTTAAAAAAAAAACTTTTTTTCTCCCTATTATTATTATTATTATTATTTTTTATAATGGTAATTTCGAGCCACGCTTTTTTCCTTTCTTTCTTTCTTTCATTTTTTTTGTCATTATTATTATTATTAGTTTTGGAGTTTTTATGTAAAAAAAAAAAAAAAAAAAAGATTTTTTTTACAAAATTCTCCAGTTTATAATATCAATAGTTTATTATTATTATTATTATTATTATTACTGTTTGCAAAAGGTAATTGTTACGTCAATTTCAGGAGAGGGGAAATAAAAAACTTAACGTGAAGTGAACGACTGGAATTAAAACAAGAAATAAAAAAAGATAAGGTACGTGGTATTCAGGCACAGTCGTGTGGACAAAAAGCAGGTGGCCAGATGTTCGTCGAGGCGTGTGCCTAGAATAATATTGGTGACACTCCCCCCTTTCCCTCTGGAGAAATAAAAAAAAAAAAAAAAGCTGCTCTTATCTAATACATAAACAATTATTATTATTATTTTTTTTTTGGATTTGAAAAGTTTCGAAAAAAAAAAAAAGTATAACGCAGGTGATTTGTTTGTTTAATTTTATCGATCGCCATTTTTTATTTTTCTCCAGCGCGGTAATTTTTTCCAGCGAAAATAATAATAATAAGAATAATAATAATTGTAAAAGAAAAAAAAAACGATTCGTCGTCGCAAACGAATTTTTTTTATTAAAAACATTTTAATTAAAACAAAAATTTATTTTCCTTTATTCCGGAAATGATTCAGAGAACGAGAGAGAGAGAAAGAGAAAGAGAGAAAGAGAGAGAGAGAGAGGGAGAGAGAGAGAGAACAAACAAATCTGGAGAAAAAAAAAATTTTTTAATTAAATTTTTGATATCTTTTCAACTAAGTTTACAAGAGAAAAATTTTTTTTGTTTTTTTGAAATTTGAGAAAGTTAAAAAAAAAACTTTCCGGGGAAAATTTTAAAAAAAGGCGTAAAACCCTCCCCCCTCTTCCTTCCTGCCCCCCTCAAAAAAAGAAAAAATCAGGTTCTTTCCTTTCTATTTCCTGATACGTAGAATTTTAATATTAAAAAAAAAAAATTAAAAAAAGCTTCGAGAAGGCGACTGGAAAAAAAATATAAAAGAAAAAGTGGGCGGAGTTAAAAAATCCGTAAAATGATTTGATTGGTTAATAATCGTGGAATATATTTTAAAAGAGGGGGAAACGTGAAAACGAATTCTTTTTTTTTTTTTTTAGGGGGGTGTTAAAAATCAAAAGGAATCAGTTGAATTTTATCTTCGACGAAGGTAACACGTATATAAAAAAAAAAAATTTTTTTTTTCTCCAGTCGTTACGTTTAAATTTATTTCCAGCTGGGAAGTTTTGTTTCTCTTTATCTCTCTTCTCTCACACTCATTCTCTCTTTCTCTCTCTTTAATTTCATTATTATTATTATTATTATTGAAAAAAAAAGTTAATTAAGAGTGTGCGCGAGTGTATTATATCTATCTCTATCTATGTATCGGATTAACTAGGCGTCGAAGCCACGCTAAGACATGGTAGTTTTGTAAGTATCGACATTTTTTTCCTTTTTTTTCCTTTTTTCCAGCGAAAAGAACCGGAAAAAAAAATTGATTAATGAATGAATGAATGAATGAATGAATGAGTGAATGAATGATTGAATAAAAGGCGGAAAATTTATACGAAAAAAAAAGAAAACCCGATTTCCACGTACGTCCCCCAAAGAAATTTTATTGGCTTTTTTACTCGCGTTTGCGCTTGGAAAATTAAACAAATTGAAAAATGAATTTTTTCACATAATATTTTTTATGATTTATCCTAGTCTTTTTAAAATTCAAATTTAACATTTGCTTTTCGCACAAAGAAAAATTATTTTAATTTTTTTTTTTTTTTCGGTTGTTAAATTTAAAAAAAAAAAAAAAAAACGAAAAAAAATTTTATTGTTTCGTTTTTTTCGCGTTTCGGAAAATTTTTTTTTATTTTTTTGTTTGGGTTCTCCAGTTCGTACGTAAACGTCAAAATTGTTCAGGATTGTTATCAGGTACAGACACGATTCGATAAGAAAGAAAAAAAATTTGCTGTCGTTTTTTACAACTAACTAAAGAAAATTAATTTTTTTTTTTTTCTGAAAATTTCTTTCCGGAATTTTTTTTTTTGCGACGCGTTAGAAAATTTTATATGATTACTATTATTATTATTATTCCTTTGTAATTTTTTTCAAAAAAAAAAAAATGAATTTCAAGTTTTCCGTCAGTCATGTTTTAAATTATAAAAAATGTTTTCTTTAACAGACAAGAAAAAGTCTACTTTGTAATGAACCAAGGCTTTTCATCATCGTCGTCGTCAAGATTGCAATCCCGATCCAGGTTGCAAGAATGGGACATAAACGACACGAGCATACCCCAAGTAACGGAATTCGACACGTGGGAAGAATGGGCAAACGGTCACTGCAGGATGGTTTACCCTTCGAGTTGCGAAGAAGCAAAACGTCACACTTCCGGTTGGGCAATGAGAAACACGAATAATCACAACGTTCACATATTAAAAAAATCATGTCTCGGAGTATTGGTTTGCTCACAGAGATGCGTTTTACCCAACGGAGACGAAGTACATTTGAGGCCTGCTATTTGTGATAAAGCAAGGAAAAAACAACAAGGTATCGAATCGGTACTAATAAAAAAGAAAAAAAAAAAGGAAAATGGTTTTTTTTTGATTTCACGAGAAAAATTATTACTTTTTTATAGGAAAACCTTGTCCGAATCGACAATGTTTAGGAAGGCTCGAAGTATTAGCTTGTAGAGGACATTGCGGATATCCGGTCACGCATTTTTGGAGGCATACGGAACACGCAATTTTTTTCCAAGCGAAAGGTACTCACGATCATCCCCGACCGGAAGCCAAATCAACTTCCGAAGCTAGAAGAAGTTTGGGTGCCGGAAGGAGGGTGCGAGGTTTGGCAGTGATACTCGCACGAGAAACCGCTATGGGTAGCAAAGTAAGCAACTAAAAAAATTTCCTTTTTTTTAAAATAAATTTTCCGCAAAAAAAAAAAAAGATGCGAGTAAATTTCATATTGTTTTTCAGATAATGTCTTTAAGGGAGGGAAAAGTTTCGGAATCCGGTCACAGATTGCAAAATTCATCCATGAAACCCATGCTATGTTCGAGTCATCAACCTCCTCCACCGCCTTTGATATCGGATAATAATAACAAAGACTCTTGTTCGTGTTCACCCTTCGATTGCATATGCAGTGATTTTATCAATCAAGTACAGTCCTACCAACAATTTACGAATCATTCATCGTCATTAAACGGCTACGATACTTCCCATTATTCTCACACGCTAGGAGGAGGAGGGGGAGGGGGAGGAGAACAAAGTTCAAACGGTTACTACAACGCTAGTCAAAATAACGATATGCTTGTTCAATCCTGCCAAGATTTTCCATCTTTTCACGGTGATTTATTTCAACCCGAAGAAATATTTCAATTGGATCAACCGTTGAGGCCTTCGGATCAAGAACAAACAAATTGCGAAAGGTCACCGACAATCATATTAGATCTCGGAAACGGAACGAATGAAAAAAATTCCGTCAAATTCGAACAGGAAGGAATTTGGACGAATCAAAATCAATTAGGAATAGCAGACGACGGAAGTAGTAACGATTGCACGCGTTATTCTAATCTATCACCCAATTCAAACGTTTTTCAACAATTTTCAACGGATTTTAATAAATTTCAAGATTACCAAGAGTATTATAATAACAACAACAACCACAATCATAACGAAAGCTTTAAATCTGTGGAAAATTACGACGGACGAGAAAATTTACAATTTTTCTACAGTAATAATAATAATAATAATAATAATGTTCCTTGTGAAAAATATAAAAACGTTGTACCAAATTTTATAAATTCGGAAATCGATGGTCGTAATTTGTGTTTTACCTCACCCGCGGATACAAATCTAACAAATTCAGATTGTCGAGGGGATTATAGGTATTTATCTACGACGGAAGAAATGAGACAAGAAGAGTTTCCGGTTACGTCGGAAAACGATTGTAAATTAGACGTTAAAAATTATTCAAACGATTATGGGATTTTCCAAGACGTTATGCCGATCCAGGATAATTTCAACGATTATTATTCTTATACGGTAAATAATAAAATATGTGATAATTTCGAACCTGTTTCCGGTGAAGAAAAAACAGTGACGCAATCCTATTATTTTTTCGATTACGGAATTGATTCGAGACCGGAAATGAATCCGACAAACAATTCATCCTACTATCAATCCCACCAACACCAAATATTTCACAACAATCAATCATCTCATTTTCAACATGGTGGATCGAATTAAATAATTTTTTTTTTTTTTTTATCGAAAAAATTGAAAATCGGAAAATTAAAAAAAAATAAAAAAAGCTTTAAACCAAAAAAATTTGTAAATCTTTTTACGATTTACCTTATTTTGTTTGTTTTCCCTTTTCTCCTTTCTCTCCTTTTCTTCCACACTTTCTCTTAACTTTCTTTTTTCCTCTTTATTTTCTTTTTTCATTTATTCTCTCCTATGTGTGATAAAATAAAAAAAAACAAATTAATTAAAAAAATCTTTCACTTTTTTTTTTTTTTAAATTTATATTTACGAAAGATATACAATAAACGCAATTTATTATTATTATTATTATTATTATATTATTATTATTATTATTATTATTTATAAATTTTTTTTTCTTTTTTTTTTTAAATAAATTTTATAAATTTTATTTGTGCAAAAATACATTTTTTTCAATTTTTTTTTTATTATAAATTTTTCCCACGTATTTTATTTTTTTTTTAAAAAGCAAAAATAATGATGATAATAATAATAATAATAATAATAATAACGATGATGATAATAATATTAATAATCTGAACGTCTGATTCGTTCGTAATGAACGCATTTACGCAATCCTACGCAAAAAATTTTATAAAAGTAAAGAATTTATTTCAAACTTTATTATTATCATTATTATCATTATCATTACTATTATTATTATTATTATTATTATAACGTAAATTAATAAAATTCGTTACGTTTGTTCGATTAACGTTTTTTTTTTTTTTTAATGTTTTTTGGGACCTTAAATTTATCAAAAGTAAGTAAAAAAAAAAAAAAAAAAAAAAAAAAGGGAAATGACGCAGGGAAAATAATTCACTTCCGGTAAAAAAAAAAAAAAAAAAAAAAAAAATTTTTTTTAAATTTATTTTTCCCCGGAAAACGAGAGTCGCGTAAAAATTTTTACATTTTTTTTTTTTTTATTAATGGGAAGAACGAAACCGACATCATGAGATTTCTTTTTTCCATCATCATTTTCCACAAGTAAAAAAAATTCAAATGATAATAATAATAATAATAATAATTTAGAATATGAAAATTTTAAATCGAAAAATTTTCTTTCTTTCTTTCCACGCTCCCTCAAAAATTTTCTCACTTTTTTTTTTTTTTAACCAAACAAAGCATTGATAAAAACAAAACATTTTCGCAACACATATTTAGACTAGATTTTGTATATAAAAAAATAATTTCGAATAATTTTTTTTATCCTATAAAAAAACTCACAAACGCGCTTTTCTCTCTCTCTCTCTCTCTCTCTCTCTCTGTCTTTGTCTCTCTCTTTCTCTCCGATTATAAATGCACACTTTTCCAAAACACGGAGTCAACGTGAAAATTTTTAACGAAACGGACAAATTTAATTTAAATCATTAAACTCGCGTAAATATAAAATTAAAAAAAAAAAAATGGCGGAAACGCCGCGAAAATTCCTAAGAAAAAAACTCTCGTCGTATTAAATTTATATTATTAATAATAATAATAATAAGTATTTTATTACCGTAATAATAAAAGGGTTTCTTTCTTTCTTTTTCTTTTTCTTTCTATCCTTTTTCAATTCGAATTTTCGTAATAATCATAATGATAATTATTATTGTTTTTAAATACTGACCCTAAAAAAAACAACAAAAAAAAAATAAAAATCACTCGTAATTGTGCTTATTTATTAATTTATATATATATATATATATATACACACGTAGCAGTACTTTGGCGCGCACAAACACACACACTCACGCACACGCACGTGCAAACGCTTACACGTGTGTTTTAAATGTAATAAAAAAAATAAAGAGAAAGAAATAGAAAGAAATTGAAAGTTGAAAAGAAAAAGAAAAACTCAAAGTTTTTTTTTTTTTGATTCATTCTTTCCATATAAGGCATTTAATAATTTTTATGTATATATATATATATATATATTTATGTATGTATGTATGTACGTTTATTATTTGTTAATTATTACCTAATAAAAAATATTTTCGTGGCTTTATTATTATTATTATTATTATTATTATTATTATTATTATTAATCTGTCTTTTTCTTGTTTTTTGTTGTGTTTTTCTTGTGTTTTCTTTCCCCCCCCCCCTATCATTCCGTTTCTTCTTTTTCTTTTTCCTTTTCTTCTTCTTCTTCATCTTCTTCTCCTTCCAGGAATTCCGTTTTGACCTTTGTCGGATTATTTATTAAATAATTACTGAATTGACTCGTAGTAACAACGCAACTTTTGCTCATGTCAACGGGTTTTTGACACGTTGACATTTCCATCGAACGGGGTAAGTAATAACTTCCGGACGACGATTGATGACTGTTTTTAGACGTTGTATCCTTCACTAAAACGACCGGCCTCACTTTGACCCTGTAAAATTTCGTTCCCTTCGGTACTTTGTAACGATTTTCAGACTGGAAAAAAAAAAAAAAAAAAAAAAACAAATTGATGAATGTAACTTATTATTAGTTTCATAAGCATCGATGGTTGTCTATGTAAATCATTACTTTTTTGGCGTGACAGTATTCCTTGTCGAAAACTTCGGCAAAGCAATAAATCCGTCTCGGAGACCCGTCGGAACTCGGTCGAAGTCCCAAACTATCCAAGCAATCCGAGTGTAAAAAATACAAAGTGGACGATTCTTGGAGTATCGTGTAATTAGAATATTCCACGTTCCAAATGACTAAAACGGCATCTCCGACGCTGCACGACGTTACGCTTATTTTACCTTGGTGAACTTTAGACTGAAAAAAAAATAAAGTTCGAATTGTTTTTCTTCTTTCTTTAAACAAAATCATAACAAATCTTTAATAATAATTAATCTCACTTTTTTCTCCCTTAAACTTGTCGATTCGCTATAAACGCTGGAGTCAGGACTCGTGCCAATGTCTTTACTGGTTACGTCCCTGAAAAAAAAAATAAAAATTATTTTCCAATTCCTGTTATTTCCAATCAAAACAAACAAACATTATTATCATTAGCATTCGTTGTGTGCATTTTACAATTTGGCGCCAAAATTTAAAAAAAAAAAAATTACAATCACGTCTAATTACAAAAACATTCTACTATTAAAAAGCAATTTAATAAATATATATTATTAATTAATAATTTTTTAATGTTTTAAAAATAAAATGGCTGATGAAAGTGCAAAAAAAAAAAAAAAAAAGTTAAAAAAAAAAGCTCAACATCTCTAACTCACGTAACAGGCAAAACAGCAATTGATTCAGACATATCGTGAACATGCCTTATTCCTTCCGCCCCTCCCGCTCCTTTCAATTTCCGCTTATCCAATTGACTCGCCAAAAACATGTTTTCCTTTTCCAAAACATCGATTTTAGCAAGAAGTGGATCCACCGTTCCAGCTCCTGGACAACTCCTGTTTACACACACACACACACATTTAAAAATTAATATTTTTTTTTTTTAAAATTCAAGAGAAAAAAGTGGGGGGAGGGGGGGAAAAAACTTACGCAGTTCTTATGTGTTCTCCATCCGTTAATAGTTTTATCGTGTTTCGATGTCTCTGACACTCCGTCATCAAAGCATCTTGACGAGTTAACAACATGTCTATTTGATTATTTTTTTCCGACAGAGCTTTATTAACGGCTTCTTCCAGCCATATTTGTTTTTCCTCTTCGAATTTCGTCTTCTCCGAATTGAATTCTTCCATCAAACGTAATTTAATATTTTCCTTTTCCGTTTCGATCGCTTCCTGTATGGCTTTTTCATTTTCCAAATCGATCCCAACCTTCGGATTTTCCGAAACGGAATCCGTGCTCGTTATACCTACGACGTCTATTTTCTAAAAGGAAAAAATGATGGATTTGTAATTATTATTATTATTATTATTATTATTATTTTCTAATTAAATGATTAAACGTCAATTTAAAAATTACTTCTACTTTTTCTAAACTAGAATCGCTTGTTAAATTTTTTTCCGCGTGTGCCGCCGACATGAGTTTAAATCTACTTCTAAGACTTTCTATTTCCGCTTTGTACTCTGCAGTTAATTTTTCCGTCGCTTCTTTCACGGCTTTTTTTTCCTTTTCTTCCGCTTCCTCGGCCATTTCCGCCCTCAATTCGCTTATTTTAATATTTAAATCCGAAACGTATTTTTCACGCAATTCATCACCATCGATCCCTTGTTTGCTTGTTTCTTTTTTCTCCGCGAACGAAGCTTCCAATTCTTCGATTTTTTTATTATGATTATTAATGAGATTTTCTCTTTCTTCTTTAATCAACCTCGAGCTTTCCTCCTGTTCGACAAATGCCATCATCGTACAAAAAAATAATAAAAAATTTTTTTTTTCCGGTACAAATCAAACCCAATAATTACCTTCACGTGATTTATTAAATCTTCGTATTCGGTTATTTTACTATTTAATTTCTCCGTTATCGACTCAATGGCTTCCGCCTTTTCTTTGACGGCTTCATCGAGTTTCGCTTTCAATTCTTCACATAATATTCGTTTGATGTTTAAATTATTACTCAAATCCCTTTTATCATTTTCCGCATCTTCTAAAATATCCTTTAACCTATTTAAATTTTTTTCGCTCGCCTCTAAAAGACTTCCTTTTTCTTCTAAAACCTAATAATAATAACAATAAAAGAAAATGCACACGTTTACTAACACGTAAAAAAAAAAAAAAAAAAAAAAAAAAAATAAGAAGAAGAAAGCAAAAGGAAAAAAAAAAAATTCTTAAAAAAACCTTTTTCAACGATTCGATTTCGGAATTCCTCGAACCTACGACTTCTTCCAGGTTTTTATTAATTATTTCGACTTCTTCGGAATACCTTTGAGTCAACTGGGAAACGCGAATTTGTATATCTTTAACTAAACTTAATATTATTTCCCTATCAGTCAGTGATTGCGATTTCATTTCAACGAGTTCCGTTTTTAAATAAATTGCCGTTTCGTTAGCCAATTTTCCAGCCTCGCTAAGATGAAGTTTTAACGTTTCCACTTCTTCCTTCTTATCCATCACATTTTCCTTTAAAAATAAATAAATAATTTTTATGTTAAATAAAACCTTTTTTTTTTGTTAAAAAGATAAACAAATTTATTAATTACTACGTTAGTTTTTAATGCGAAACTAACCTCTAATGTTTGTTCATCGATTGAAGTTTTTACTTTTATCGGACTGTGACATACTTTTTCGAATTCTTCCGTATCCGTTTCCGATTCTAAATCCCTTTAAACGGAAAAAAAAAATTATTCTTAGATGAATATTGAATGGGAAAAAATATATAAAATTTCTTTAGTCATTATTTTCCTCACCTTTCATTTTTACTATTTGAAATTTTCTCACTTTCGGATTCAGAGGGTTGCAGTAGAGTTTTGTCTAATTTCGATCCGAGTCCAACTTCGGTCACGGCAACAACCAATTGTTTTTCGACCGGATCGTTTTCTTTAATATTCAAAGGTTTTTCATCTGACATTGATTTGGTGAGAAACATTTGAGCGATGCTTGATAATTTTGTTACAGAGAGACTCATTGATAATTCAGGCAGGTACAATCGTAAATCTTCCATGTCTTTTGTAGTCAACTGAAAAAAAGTCAACAAACAAATTTTTTTTTTTTTTTTTTTTTTTTTTCAGTACGAAAAAAATTTCATTTTTATAAAAGAATTTAATCGATCATTTACTTGCGGCAATGAAACATCGAAAGGTGCGGGAGCTTGAGTGGCAAAAGGAGGAGGGTTATCTTCGAAACCGGGGAAAAGAGATTGAAGAAAGTGACCTTCGAACTGAGATTGAAAATCTTTACGTTTTTCATATTCTTCATTGTACACAGCCAATAATCTACAGCTCATATCGCTCGCCCACTGTATATAAAAAAAAAAAAAAAAAAAAAATTGAAAAAGTTATCATCCATTTTTAAAAAAAAATAATGAATATTATAAATTATATTACTTACGCACCGATAAAAAAGCTTGAGAGAAAGTTCTTCGTCTGACAACCTCACTCACTGCAGACACATAAACTTGAGGAGTCCTTTGAACTTGACGAGTAATTTCCAAATATCTTCTTAATCGTTTTAAATTACCATTATATATCATTAATTTATTACTAACATCAGATATTAAATTTTCAGCATACATAACCCATCTAAATAATAATAATAATAATAATAAGTAATTAATTTGGGTAACTTAATTTAAAAATTCTTTTTCAAAAATATAAATATTTATTTATTTATTTATTTATTTTTTTTTTGGTAAAACAAATATTTACCCAAGTCTGTGATATAAATTAATACTAAGTTCTTCTTTTGCCTTTGTACATCGCCTCCTAATATCTCGCAGTTTATGCTGATTATATAACATGACAAGCAATTGTTTGCGATGAGAATCACATAAATCAGGCAAGATGGAGGGATCTTTAAGTGAATTAGCTCGAGTTTGATTTTGTTGAAATGCTGCCGCGAGATCAGTTTGTTCTTGAACGATTTTTTTCGTTTCTATCATGAGCTGCTCGAGTCCGAACAATCTCTCCTCCAATCCTTTGATTTCTTTCATTTCGCTCTTATCCGCCGTTATCAGAGTCGTTTCAACTTCTTTAATTAAAGCTTCTAAAACTTTTAAGTCAAATTGTTCCAAGCCCTTTTGTGCTTGTTCTGCAACTTGTTCTAAACTACTTTGATTATCAGCCGTTGCAATCCACATGAGAAGAGTCATAGCACCAACTTTTTTAGATTCATCCTCGCTTAAGAAATCTTCAGTCCCTTTCATTTTAATTTTTTCATCGGATTCTTCAAATTTTTTCTTTTCTTCAGGTGAATAAAAACTTAAGGCATTACCAATGAGGGGATCAAGAATGGGAATTTTGGCTAAAACTTGTAAATCACTGCTAAAACTTATAATAATAATAATAAAAAAAAAAAAATTATTAAATTTCAAATAATTAATAAAAAATTTAATAAAAATAAATCGGTGTAAATATTTACTTTTGTAACATTTCCAAATTTTCATCTCTACTTTCAAGGTATTGTCTATAATTTTGTTCAAACATTTCACTTTTCATTTTAAAAGCTGTAGTTAAATCTTCTAAATTGGCAACTGCAGCTGCCCATCCCTGCTGCTGCAAATGTTGATCATGAACCAAGCTTTCACATATTTGAGTATGTTCTCTAGCTAATTCGCAAAACTGTTGAGCAATTTGTGTTCTTTTGCCAACCGTATCATAAGCAGCCGGCATGGCCAATGAATTTTCAACCATTTCTTTCATATCTGAATCTGGAAAAAGTGAAAAAAAAAAAAAAAAAAATTTTATTTTGTTCCTTTTCCATAACATAAAATTTATTCAATGAATAGTTTTGTTTAAAGAAAATTTTCTTATTGTTAAAGTATAAAAATAAACTTGAATGAATGGTAAAAGCAACATATATGTAATCAATTCTAAGCAGAAATCAATTTTATTTAAAAATTAATACTTTTAATTTTATTCGTCATCTAAATCTAAAATCTACATTTTTATGGGATTATCATTATTATTATTATTATTATCAGATGTAATATTCTTACCTGATCCATAATCAATACTTGGAGAAGGTGGTTTGGCATTTTCTAATGTACATTTACTAAATAAAAAAATAGGATTGGTGTCAGTTCCTGCTGAATAACTGCAAACCTTAACGCTAGGATCAAGACACTCTCCGCCACTGACTAATAGCACTTGTTTATCCACTGGTATCTTGCATGATTTTTCAATAACATCCTTTAACTGCTCAACACTTTCCAATGCCAGGTTCATTTCAAAGGTCATCATGGTACCTGTGTCCACTTGAAATATGTACAGCATGATGCCGTTCTCCCTTTTGGGAGCCACCACTGCATAGGTCCCTATCTACCCAAAATACTGTTCTCTGTAAAACGAAAAAATTATTTTCTTATCAATTATTAAAAAGACTCTGCATGATTACTTTTTTTTTTTTTTTTTTTTTTTTTAAATTTATTTTTTTAATTTAAACAAAAATTAATATTTCATAATATTTCACGTCAAACTGACACGAAAAAAAAAAAAATTTTAAGAAAAACAAAGTTTTTCAAAGGCCAAAACAAAGTATGAGAGAACAAAGGATGGAATTGATTCAAAAATTTTTTGAATGTCAGTCAGTTTTGTAATTGTTTATAACTATTCTATGTCATTACCAAAAAAAAACAATTTGATTCTATTGAAAATAATTATTTATAATTACCCAGGTTTCTTACGTCTACATAAAAACAGTTTTTAAATAAAAAACTCATTTTCACTTCCTAACAATAATGGCGGACTACAGCTGTTTTCATAGAATTCACTCAGCGAGCACCTGAAAGGCAAGTTTTAAAGTGACGTCATTTGACATTTAATGACGTTAATAAAAAATCTCTGCGCTTAGAATAGGCATGAGTCTTCTGCAACACTGACGTGGATGTAAACAAATAAGTTGAACTTTATTCGTTACATTTGAATTCAAAGTCCGATATTTGTTTGTGTTGAATTAATGCAAAAAACATTTTTTTCAATAAACTATGCCGTCGGCCTTAGGTAGCAAAAATGGGTTGTTGGCGAGGGTTAATTTTCCCTTATATTCCGTTCAAATGCTGACAAGCAGGCACGTTTTAGTAGCTGGTGGTGGAGGTTCATCTAAAACTGGCGTAGCAAATGGATTCGTAAGTACTGAAGTTATGATTTTTAATAACAATAATATTATGTTCGAAATATCACATTCAACAATTATTATTTTTTTTTTTTTTTTTTATAAAATAAAATTTTAATTTTAAATTTATATTATTGACCTTATTGTATGCAAATATTAAATTATCATTTGCATTATCACTATCATTATTTTTTTAAAAAAAAAATAACCATATTATCATATGTTATGTTGCAATAAATTTATAAAAAACCCAATTGAACATTGTTTTATTAGCAATGCTTCTTCAAAATTAATCACAGTCGAAATAATCATTACTTTTTTTTTATTTTTTAGGAAGTTTTTGAAATTTATCATGATGGCTATTGTTTTATAGCAGAAGAAGTTTTAAGACATGAAACAGGTCCGAATGTAGTTATGAATTGCACTGTGCACAGCACGGAAAATCGTACTTATTTAGCTTCCGGACAAGAAAGCCATTGTCAATTATATTCAGTAGATATGTCAATTTCAGAATCGAAAAAAAATAAAAAAGAAAATAAAGAAAATTCGAGTGTGAAAAATAGGAAAAAAAATGATGATGGTAAAACATCGAATGAGTCATCAAATGATATTAATTCAATATCTAAAGTTTTAACATTTAAATTAAAATCATTGGATAGCATACAAACTGATTTCAGGTAAACATTAATTTAACCTTGGTAGAAACGACGCATGATGACAGAAAATTTATTACAATCGAGTACATTAATAAATGCAAAATTTTTTAAATGTTATGTTTTGTAGTAAAAATGAACCATTACAAAAAGTAGTTAGGATATCGAGTAAAGGCCAATACATAGCGACAGCAGGTACAGATGGACATGTTAGGGTTTGGAAATTTCCACAGCTTAAAAAAGTCACAGATATAAAAGCTCATACAAAAGAAGTAGATGATTTAGATATAAACAGGAAAGAAACACAGGTAGTAAATCGCTATCAAGTCGAATAATAATAATAATAATAATGATAAAAAACATGACATAAATATCGAATATTGTATTGTTGTTTACTCGCAGTTGATTAGCTTGTCCAAAGATGGAAAAGCCATAATGTGGGATATATCGAGTGGGAAAAAAATCCACGAATTAACCTGGGAACCACCTCAGGGTTGTAAATACATGTATAAACGTTGTCGATTCGGAGTAGTGGAAGAAGACAAAGATAAAAGTAGATTATTTATATTGACAAATCCTGTTGGCCACCTGGGAAAATTAAAAGCTTATTTACAATTGTGGGATGCTGAGAGTGGGAATTTAGTGAAATTAACGTCATTCACGGAAAACGTTTCATCGTTGGCCGTCAGGGATGACGGTCGATTCGTTGCCGTCGGTACAATGTTTAGCGGAAGCGTTGAAATATTTATTTCGTTCAGTTTACAGGTACATTTAAAGACCTTTTTTTTTAACCTACGTCACGTGTCACGAACTAAATCCCCTTTCTTTTTTTTTCAATTCGCAGAGAGTTTTGCGCGTCAACGGTGCTCACAACATGTTCATTACCGGTTTAGAATTTTTACCCGTAACAAGTGACCTTATATCAGTCACGTCAAATGCTGAAGCAGCCGTGATAAGCGTTTCGGTTGACAATCGCGTGTGCATACACACTCTTTATCACAGACGTAAGTACGCGCACGCACAATTTCTTACGCACGAAATACCAAAAAAAAAAAATTCATTCATTCATTCATACAATTTTCCCTTTTTTTTTTTTTTCTTTCAGGTTTCATACCTTCTTGGCTTGCCATAACATTAATCGTCATAACATTATTTTTTACGTTTGTCATATGCAGCATTATCGGGCTATGATTGGTAAAAATGCAATTTTTACAAAAAAAATTTTATCGCAATTTAATAAAGGAAATAAAACATAAAGAGAGAAAGAGAGAGAGAGAAAAAAGAAAAGAAAAGAAAAGAAAAATGAAAATTCCAACAGCGATCACCGATTTGAATTTGGAATTTTTTTTTTTTTTAACTTTTTCTTTCCCCCTCCCCCCTCCCTCCCCCCTTCGCAAAACCTGTAAATGTGTAAATTTTATTATTATTATTATTATTATTATTATTATCATTTTTTAAATTTCTTTTGCTTAACATCAAAAGCACGCACAGGAGAAATTTTTTTTTTTTTTTGTTTTTTTGTTCATAATTCGAGTAATAAGCCGCCATTAATAAAAAAAAAAATTATAATTTTGTGTGTTTTTTCTTTGTTTTTTTTTTTTTTTTTTGTTTTGTTGCTTAAAATTTATTTGTATTTTTTTTTTTTTATTGTAAATAATGAGAGTGTAATGCATATAAATTATTGTTTTCTTATTTTTATTTATTTATTTTTTTTTTTTTACCAAAAATTCTCTAATTACATAATCACGTTTTGTATTTGGTGTGAAAGTTTAAAAAAAAAGAAAAAAATTTCTATTCATCGATTTAATTAAAAAAATTTGTAATTATTATTATTATTATTGTGTATTAAATTTTATTATTATTATTATTTTCAATTTAATTATTTTAATAATTCTCTCAAGAGTTTATCGATCGATCGTTATTTTATTATTGATCGGCGAAATAAAAATTATTATTTAAAAATTTTGTGTATAAAACGAAATTTTTTTTGGTTGTTGTTGTTGTTTGTTTTGTTTATTTATTTATTTATATTGTTATTATTATTATTATTTTTTTTTTTCGAAATTTATTTTTCGCTAGTTAAAAAAAAAAAATAAAAATTGAGATAACAAAACCAATGATTCGATTCTGAAACGTTTTTTCTTTTTTATTATTATTATTATTATTTTTTTTTTTAATTGATTATTGATTATTGATTTTATCAATAAGGAACAAAATTTTTTGTTTTTTTTTTTATATAATTTTATTATTTGATTTAATAAAATTATTAATGATAATAATAATTGATGTTTTATTTAGGTATTAGAATGATTTTAACTTGCCGAATTGAAAAAATAAATAAATAAATGATAATAATGATGATAAAATAATTCTGGTCTAATTAAAATTTAATTATTTTCCTCTTGTTTCTTTTTGTTTGTTTGTTTGTTTGTTTGTTTGTTTTTAGTAATAAATTTATTATTATTATTAGGTCTTATTGAATGCGTTGCTGGTAAATGTTTTGCAATAATAAATAATAAATAATAATAATAATAATAATAATAATAATAATAATAATAATAATAATAATAATAATAATAATAATAATAATAATAATAATAATAATAATAATAATAATAATAATAATAATAATAATAATAATAATAATAATTATAATTATAATTATAATAAATATAACTTAAAAAATATTTCACGCGATTTTAAACGCCAAAAAAAAATAAATAAATAAATAAAAATTTAAATTTTCCTTAATTATAAGTTATGAATAAATTTTTTTAAAAAAACTTTAAAACAAACGGAAAAATGTAATGATAATGATAATAATAAAGAAATAATTCGATACGAAAAGAAAAGAAAAAGAAAAACTTTCACGTTAAAAAAAAAATCATAGAAATCAATTGAAAAATTTTAAATTATCATTTAATTATCGTGTCGTTTAAAAAATTTGAGAAAAATTTTTTGCTGTCGTTGTTTTCAATACGTGCCCCTCGATACGAGAATGAGAATAATAATGATAATAATAATAATAATAATAATAATAAAAAGAACAAACTATCCAGGAAATCGCACTATGTGGGACGTCCCACAGCCTTCGGAAAATACTCTATAAAGAGCACCAACGAAATTCTAACATTTCATCCCTAAGGAATCCTATCGGGTAGAAAGAAACCTGGAATAAATGCTTAAAAATCCCGACGGCAAATAAAAATCCTGTCGCGTTTAAGAGTGACCATAATAATAATAATTTATGTATAATTATCATTAATAAAAAAAAAAATAATAATAATAATAAAGAAAATTAATGTGCAAATAAATATTTACATATAATTTCCGTTTTATTTTATTTCTAGTATTATTATTATTATTATCACTATTATCATTTATCGAATTTGAAATAATATTCTATAAAAACCAATCAATCAATCGATCGATCATTTCATTAAATTTTACTTTAATTTAAAAAAAAAAAAAACGAAAATTAATTTAATTTATTTTCACATTTATATGTCTCGAATATTTTTTTTAATAAATGACGGCTTTAACTCCCCTCCTCCCCTCTCCCCCGGTTCTTCCCTCTCTCCCCGGGTTTCTCTCCCTTTCCCCCAAATTTAAATAAAAAAAAAAAAAAAATTTCGATAGTAAACGTAATCAATCAATGAATTTTTTTTAAATTAAAAATTACGCAACGAGGTATCAAATCGAAAAACAAAATTTTTTTTTTTTTTTTTGTTAACCGTTTCGGGGGGATTTAATGTGGATTAAAGATCCCCGTTAACTCACGCACACACACACACACACGTAAACATTTATTATTTAAAATTAAATAACTCGGGATTCGATACGTTCGTTCGTTCGTTCGTTCGTTCGTGTATTTAAATAAAAGGTAAATAAAACACCTGACAGTATGTACGAACGCATTCTAATCCATCTTACAACCGTACTCTAGTGTAAGTGAAAAAGTCGAGTTTTTTTTTTTTTTTTTCAAATGTTGCTTTATTGGCATTAATCGAAAGACTACCACCACTACCACTACTACCTGGCAAAGTGGTATTATATACGACTACGACTACGACGACGAGTTGTTCGAGAGTTAAAGAAAGAGAGAGAGAGAGAGAGAGAGAGAAAAAAATTTTTTTTTTTTTTATTCAGTCGAAGAGGTATGGTCGTTGCCGCTGCACCTGAACGACTCAGGTTCATCGGAACCCGGTTTAATATTTAATAAATCCAATGTTAATTCTACTTATAACTAATATAACTTGAGGCGATGTGAATACTTTTTAATTTTTATTTAACTTTGTGTCGAAATTATTTTTTTCGTTATTTAAATAAATAAATAGAAAAAAAAAATTTTTTTTTTTTTGTTATTTTGTGTGCCTTTTTTTTTTTTTTTTTAAATAAAAACGAACGCGAAAAATAAATAAATAAATATTTCACACGGATTAACGGATTAATATTTTATTTTATTTAAAAAATGAAACGGTAAGTTTTCCTTTTAATAAATAATAATAATAATAATAATAATTATAAAATAATTAAAATAAGAAGAAGATTTTCACGATTTAAAATTTCAAAAAAAAATAAAATAAAATAAAAAAACAGGTAGATTAAAAAAAAAAATCTCTTTCCGCGACAGGTATAAGGTTTTCGACTCCGAAAAAAAAAAAATAAAAATAGTTTCCTTACGAATATCATCATCATCATCATCACCATCATGTTTCGTTTGTATTTTTTTTCGCGTTTTGAATGTGAAAAAAAAATAAAAATGGCTTGACCGAATAAGATAAATTTTAATTGATGTAAATATTATTATACAGGCTTAAAAAGGAATGCTGTGAAACTTTTTCACATGCTTTGCCTCCCCACTACCGCCCCCGCCCCCCTTCTAATACATTCGAGCAACTAAGATATATAAATATGGTAGTGACCGAAAAGTAAAAAAAAAAAAAAAAAAAAAAAAAAAAAATGGGTGTGCACTTGTTTACAAAAATTTATTATTAATTTTTTTTTCTTTTCATTTGGAAAACCTTGCAGAAAGTTTTTAAAAAAAAAAAAAAAAAAAAGAAACCTTATTTTTAACAATTAACCAACTACCTGTTTTTAAAAGAAAAAGAAAAGAAATTTATTACAGGTACGCCAAAACGAATTTTTTTTTTTGGGGGGGTTTTTTTTAGAAATTAATTTTCTTTTTTTTTTTTAGAAAAAAAATTATATCTCGAATAAATAACAATAAGAATTTCTTTTCTCTCTTTTTTTAAATAGAAACAATTTCATAGAATATTTCAACCTCATTTTCTCAGGCACGACTCGTACAAATCGATCATTTAATAATAATAATAATAATAATAATAATAATAATAATAATAATTAATAATAATAAATTCAAACGCGGTGTTTTAATTAAATTTTTTAAAAGAAAAACTTTTATTACTCCGGCGTTCGTTTTTCTTTCCTTTTTTTCTAGAATCTTATAGAAATAATAAATTCGAATACGACCCGATCGACCTAACGTAATCCCAGTAAATTTTTAAATAATAATAATAACAAAACCATAATAAAAATAAACTGTAGAAATTCTCATCGTGTTCTTTTCCAAAAAAAAAAAAAAAATTCGATTTCTTTTTTAAAAAAACTTTTCGTACAAAAACAAACACGTAACAATTTTACCTAAATAATAATAATAATAATAATAATAATATCAAATATCACGTAACGTGAATTTAGGGGTGCGCCGGAAACCCTCATTATAACCACGTCCGACAACATTCTTGCCACGAGGGGGGGATCAAGTTTAAAAAAAAACTCAAGTGTCAAACAATGATGCGATCTGGATGTTATTCATAAAATTGTAAAAAAGGTTTTTATGATTTCCGGACATCCTTTTTAACCTTTTCGAACATTCTTTTCTTTTTTTGGGTACGTAACTGACACTCACCGAGAAAAGAAAGTGTAAACGCACAAACACGCACACACGAGGAAAAAAATTAAAAACACGTTTGTATTTACAAAATCCGGATTTTGACCTCGAGTATAGATTTTTAATTTTAATAATAATTAGGCGAAATAATAATAATAATAATAATGATAATAATAACAACAACAACCGCAAAAATTTTTTCTATTTCGATTCGAACCTATTCTCCTTATAGATATTCATTCCAACAAACAAACAAACAAACAAACCAAACATGAAT